GCTAGTAAACGTGTGCACTATAAAAAAGAACTATAATTACAATGATTAGTAATTTACGAAAATATATGGGCAGATAAAATTGTAGAAATTAAATTATTTCAAAATGAGGAAAGGAATTAACAAGAACTACCCATCGATAATTTGAACCATCAAATTTTCTGGCAGAAGTAAAGAGCACGGTCCTGGCAGGCATATTGAGTCCCATAGCAAAGGTCTCCGTGGCGAAGAGGCACTGGCAGAAAAGAGTAATTATATGAAGTATATAGATGGTGAATCACTAACAAAAATGAATTGTAGTTGAGCAATACCATAATATAGGCCAATTACCTTGAGCAGGCCTTCGCAAAACAAGATCTCGACTGTCTCTTTCAATATAGGCAGTAGGCCACCGTGATGAATACCAATGCCCTTTTTAAGAAGAGGAAGAATGCTCTCCACTTGAGGCAATGCTTTATCTTCGGATGAGAGGCCATCAATGGCATTTGCGAAGACTTCGTCTACTACCTTTTTTTCATCATCTAGTAATGGATGGAAAGGACGACTAAAATAGGGTTAATGATGCTGAATTGACCACATGTTGACAAGTAGTCCAGAAGAGTGACATGACACATTTGAAGGTTAAAGCAGATAAAACGATTATCGTTGAGAAGTATCTGACTCTCCTGAACGTATAACATAAAAATAGTAGTTGTTTGACCTTGTTCTCGCAACTTGATCATATTGGTAAGAAGACTTAGAGGAACGCACCTAGTCCGGAGTCCATTGTATGCATCATTCTTTCCATAGTAGGACCGTGGACGTGGTAAATTCCCAGACGTTTGCCAACATCGTCAGTGAGTCTCGCCATTCATAGCACCATATTTTCAACTCGTCAAAAAGACAAGTGAAGCACATCCTTTAAACAAATCTGTACTAAACAGTTGTGGTATCTTCCCTTCTGCCCTGGGCTATTCACATTTCCTATATACTCCTATCATGCCTTATCTATCACAATTTTTACCGAGCTTATTTTTAATGTAGTGTGC